AGGTCTGGGAACAAGTCTGGTGGGGGAACTTCGGGAACTCCCCTACTAGGCTGTAGCCTCTGTTGGTGAGCATGAGAGTTGGGGCTGGGTGTGGGCTAGATTTGACAGGGCTGCTGTAATTGTTGGTAGGTGTGTGGGCTGGCTAGGGGTGGTGGGGGGAAATGGACAGGGCATGGCCAGCTCAAGTTGTGGTACACGCTGACATGCATGATAGCCAGGATGGGGTGTGAGCCATGCCAAGTTGGACTTCTGTATCTGTTTATTTGCATGAGAGCCAGGGATGGGGGCAGACTGGGTAGAGCTAGGCTGCAGCACCACTGGTGGTGGGCTGGGTAGCATCTGATGGCAAAGGCCAAGATGGGGTATCAGGTATTCTGGACTGAGTCAGAGAAACCACTAGCACGTGCAAGATTTGTGGCTGGGTGAGGCCTCGTTGAGGAGCTAAGATGACACACCTGCTGGGATGTGGTTACCACTGGGGGAGCTACACTGGGCTGGACATGGTTGCAGCATCTCTTGGCATGGGTGTGGATTGGGTCTGAGGTATGCCAAACTAGGCTAGGCTCCAGCATCGACAGGGGTAGGAGAGGCTGGGCTAGGTCTTGGCACTCAGTGAATCACAGCAGAGCTAGGTCTGGGGGTGGGCCAGGCAGGGCTGGACTGTAACATCCAAATTAAGTACCAGAATGGGTGTTGGCCAGACGGTCAAGTCTGCTATATCTGCCAGTAAATGCCATGAGAGGGGGGAGGCCAAATCAGGCTGAGCAAAACACCCACTGGTGTGTGAGAGATTTGTGATGGGGAGGTGACCTGTTAGAGGAACTTGGGAAACTCCTGTCAGGATGCAGTCCCTGCTGGTGAGTGGAGAACTGAGACTGTGAGCAGCTCAGACCAGCCCAGTTTACGGTACCCACTGGTATATGTGAGGGTCAGGTCTAGGGCAAGGAGGACTGGGCCAGTTTGCAACACCCATTGACAGATCCAAGAACCAGGACGGAGTGTAGGACAAGCTTGCTTGGGCTGCAGCACTAGCAAGTTCACATTAGGGCTGGGATTGGGTGCTGGCTGAGCTAGGCTAGGCTGCAGCACCCACCAACATAAGCTAGAAATGGGGGCAGGCTAGGTGCAGACAGACTGCAGCACCTTCCAGTGAATCCTGAAGTGAGGTGGGCTATGTCAGATTGGGACACAGCACCAACCAGCATATGTAAAAACTGAGGGAGAGGGTTGTGGGAACTGCCCTGCTGGACTACTACTTCTACTAGTGAGCTTGAGAGCTGGGACTTGGGGCAAACCATACTGGGCAGGGGTGTAACACCTGTTGGCCTGCATGTGAGCTGGGCTGGGGGCACAGCCAGGCTGCAATAGGCACTGTATCTGCTGGTGCATACCTGAGCCAGGTTAAGCATAGGCTTGTTGGGCTTTGACACTGCCACCAAATAGCAAGTGCTGAGACTGGGGACAAGTCCTGTCAGGCTAGACTATAGTACCACATGGAAGGAGCAAGCTTCTGGGCTGGGAGTGGGTCCTGTAGGGAAACTGCAGGCATGCCTCTGTTGGGGTGCAGCTCCACTGGTGAGCATGATGGGGCTGGCCTGGCTGGACAGGCAGCAACACCCGCCAGCATGAGTGTGGGCTGGATAGTGGGGTCAGTCAGGTTGAGCTAGGATGCAGCATCCAGGGGCATGTATAAGAGCCGAACAGAATGCAGAGGGCTTCCAGTAACGTGGCAGAGGAAGGAGGGCAGAACAAATTGAACAATTCTCCCAGTTAAGCTTCAACAGCAAGGATCTTGGTAAGTGGAGACTCTAAGGGTGACTACGTCAGCCAATAGACCTTGGAAGGGTTTTCTTAACCTTGGAGCAACAAAATCAACAGCATCTCAGAACTATCAAAACCTCTTAAACAGTACCCTTGGAACATGCTCCATATCAGGGATCCTAGGACAGACAATATCAAGTGGCTGTCTCCTAGGTACTTATGTGGTTAGGCTGCTCATAGTAGCTGTCTCCCCTTATTTTCCCTGATGCAGGAAGAAAAAGAAAAATGGAAAATGTTGTCTCTTATACTTTCTCCCATACCTTGACCCTTCCTACCCTTATTAGTGGTCCACATGGCATACATCCTTCTCAACTATGTAAACATCATCAAAAATAAATGTGCATAAAAAATAAGTTGGCTTATTTTTATTATGATCTATAATGGAAGTTTACATGAATGAAGAAATCAGAAAAAATTATGTAACTGCCATAGCAAGTTTAAGTTCACAAAATTGGAATGAACATAAAACAATGAGAGAAAAAACCCAAGTCACTGAAACATTATGTATAATCTTAGAAAATGTAAGTTCAAAATCATTTTAATCTGATGGTCATGTGCCCTTTGAAAAAGATATTTATTAAGACTGTGGTCATGATATAGCATTGTGGCATAGTGAGTTAAGCTGCTATTTTCAATGCTGGCATCAAGTATCAGAGTGCTGGTTCATATTCTGTTTTGCTTTCTTTGTGCTATTGTACCTGGAAGGCAAAGGAAGATGACTCAAAATGTCTTGCAATCCATGTGAGAGACCAAAATGGAGTTCCTAGCTTCTGGCTTTAGTCTGTGCAGCCTGACCATTGCAGCCATTTAGGGAGGGAACCCTTTCCTTGTTACTTTTTTTTAAATTTAAGATTTATTTATTTTCACTGGAAGGGCAGATATACAGAGAAGAGGAGAGACAGAGAGGAACATCCTCCATCCGTTGATTCACTCCCCAAGTGGCCACAACGGCCAAAGCTGTGCCGATCTGAAACCAGTATCCCAGATCCTCCTTGGGGTCTCCTATGCAGGTGTGGGGTCCCAAGGTCCTAGGCTGTCCTCAACTGCTTTCCCAGGCCCCAGGCCCCAGGCAGGGAGCTGGATGGGAAGTGGGGCTGCGGGGATTAGAACCGGCACCCATATAGAAGCCTGGTGTGTGCAAGGCAAGTACTTTACCTGATAGGCCACCATGCTGGGCACTCCCTGTTGCTCTTTAAAATACATAAAATAAATCTTTAAAAAAGCCTGTTAAATGAATAACAATTATTAAATGATTAGCTTTATCTTGAATTGCCCTATAAAGTTTGTAAGTATTAATTGGCCAGTACCAAAATTAATGTTTTAGTAACATTTCTTTAGTACATGAAAATGAGTAAAACATTTTTAAATTACAACTTTACCTTCCAAAGAACTTCTTAATGATTTACAGTCATCTTTAATTGTTCATATTTTATATAAGACATTTGTCTATAGCAGATTTTTAATTTTTATTAGATGAAGACTAAGTATAGCTATGATTTCAAATTAAGCCTTAAATTTGAGTGATTCAGAAAAGAGTGTTTTTGCTGCAGAAGTTCAGGGAACATGCATACTATAAAAAAGTATGCATGGATTTCAGTTTTTATTTACAACAAAATACATTTTTGCTAACTTGTTTGAACAGGATTTAGTTTGGGGAATTAAGAAGGTTAAGACATGAGTCTTAAAACAGTCCCTTATTAGAATAACACTGATAATAACACTAAAACTGAAGCAAAAACGTCAAAGTTATAGTGAAGCCTGGATAAAAGAATGGTGAAATCACTGATGCTTTAAAGGAAATTTATGGAGATAATGTCCTAAGGCAATCAGCAGCTTGCAAATAGCTCATTTTAAGAAGGGAGAAGCCAATGTTGAAGATCATGCCCACAGCGGCAGACCATCTGTATCAATTTGTAAGGAAACAAAATTAATCTTGCTCATGCCTTGATTGAAGAGGACTAATGATTAACAGCTGAAACAAAACTCAACTAATCACAAATGGCCCAATTTACAAATTCTGACTAAAAAAAGTGGAACATGTTTTTCTGCTCTGTTGGTGCCCAAATTATTATGCCAAATCAGCTAAAGAAAGCAGCATAGAAAGTTTAAGCATGTGAGATCAAGAGAGAACTATAATGACACGAAACCTGGCTCTATGTGTATGATCCTGAAGACAAGGCACAGCCAAAGCAATGGCTACTAAGAGGTAGAAATGGACCGTCAAAACAAATGTTGAGTGTTCAAGAGCAAAAAGTCAGGACAACAGGCTTTTTGGGGTGTTTAAGGCATTTTCCTTGTTAACTTTTTGGAGAAAGAATAACAACATCCTATTATCAAAGTATTTTGAAAATGCTAGCAAAAGTTACTGAAGAAAAATATCCAAGAACGCCTCACCAAGGATTCTCCACCATGGCAATGCTCCTGCTTGTTACTCTCATCAAACACAAACATTTTTGCTGTTGTTGAGAATTTCGATGGAAAATTATTAGGAATTCACCTTACAGTATTGATTTTATTCCTTGTGAGTCATTACATTTGGTTATTAGTTAATCCTTTATTTTAACATTTTGATGAAAAGATTTAAAAACAGAAAATTTGCTGCTCATTTAATCAGTGGGTTCAAAACAAAGATGATTTTATTGGAGAGTTAGGACTGTTTATGTGAGGCTGTTTCCAGGTGTTACAGGCTAAGCAGGTACCTGGATTTACTATGTGTAAATTAATTGTACCAGTTCATATTCTTTTAAAACCAAATTTAGATCAAAAGTAATTGTCTATAATTATGTACCAGGTGTTATGTACTTCAATTTCATCTCAAATTTTCATAACACTGGCTTACTCTTAGAAACAAACAAAATTTCCTAATTCCTTACTCTTGATTTCATATGGCCAGCTAATGAAGACTAGTGGCCTGGAGCTACAGACTCCAAGCGTGCTAACAGCAATTGTGAAGTTCATCTTTGCTTGAAAACCATGGTGGAATGGGATCTCATTGCACAATGCAACTCAACCTTCTGAGTTGTTTTGATTACTCTAATGGGAGAAGAGGAAAAGGGTTGGCTTCACTAAAAATATAAAAGTGAGAGACTTCTTTATACAGTAATTACATTGGTTAAGTAATTTATATTTTATATTACCTCAGCTAAATCATCTCATGCAAGACATGCAGAAAACAGTACCTTTTTAGTTTCAAATTGTGCTTCTTCTTGGCAGCATCCTCTGCAATCAGGATCCAGCTGCAGTAGGTTGAACTGCCCAAGAAGATCACAGGAGCTGCAGAGCAAGTTGCTAGAGAAGCCTAATTCTCTGCATGCCTCCGATGAAAATTCTGCCCCCAAAGTAGAGATCTGAAAGTAAAAAAAACATAACTCTATATTTACATTTATTACAAAGCATCCATAAAAAGAGAAAACAGGGTTTATACTGGGATATGAGCAACTAAAATACTTCACTTGGAGACAAGCTGTAACGATTCATAAGCCTTGTTTTCTTCAACTTTCCCTACAGGCTTTTCTCTTAAAAGCTTGACATCTTTGTGGATTAACAAAAAAATAAGTATGTATGTTACATCCTTCACTAAACACTCAAGTTATTAAAAGGAATTTCCTTATAAGAAAAATTAATTCCCATTAGATTTTAAGAATAGCACTTGTTAGAGTCCCTGTGCTCACAGGAGCTGAATTATCTGCAGTCACATCTAGCTAGGGAAGGGTAGAAAATATGATGGAGTAAGGAATGACAGAAGTACAGAGATCAAATTTCTGGTTTTAAATAAAAGGCCAACCACTTAAAATATGTGTGACTCTTGGACAAACTATTTAGTCTTTTTTTAAAAATATTTATTTTTATTATTTTTTTATTGGAAAGGCGGATATACAGAGAGGAGAGACAGAGAGGAAGATCTTCTGTCCGATGATTCACTCTCCAAGTGAGCCGCAACGGTCGATGCTATGCCAATCCGAAGCCAGGAGCCTCTTCCGGGTCTCCCACACGGGTGCAGGGTCCCAAAGCTTTGGGCCGTCCTTGACTGCTTTCCCAGGCCACAGGCAGGGAGCTGGAAGGGAAGTGGGGCTGCCAGGATTAGAACCGGCGCCCACATGGGATCCCGGGCGTGCAAGGTGAGGACCTTAACCACTTGCGCCACCATGCCGGGGCCCCAACTATTTAGTCTTAACTCATGCCTTACTCAGGACCCAGAATCTGGAACAACTCTCCTTTAAGTCCATCAGTGAAAAGTATCATGCTATTATTGTTCAGGTTGAGAGCCTTGTGTGTCCTGCCTCTCTGTCAGAGTTTCCCACAACCTTATGACTTTGTGCATCCTACGTGTTCTTAAAGTGTGATGGTAGTTTTCCACTGAGAAGTGGGGCCGAGGTTCCTTCACCTTTAACACCAGAGGCTGTGACTATTCAAATCAAGAGTTAAAAAACCAAACCAAACCAAAACCTTGGAATACATCATGAAATGGAAACAGCTTTCACCCTGCTAGGGCGACCTGGGACCATCAATTCTGGAATTTAGCCACAGAGCATTAAGTCTAAACTGGAAACAAGATGTAAGGCCCATGTACAGCAACTGAAGACAAGATGTAATGCCCAGCTGACACTCCCTTCTGACAACCAAGCATCAACCACTAGACATGATAATAAAAACCCTTCAGATTTCAAGCCTCAGCCTTCCTGCTAGGGCAGGGGAAACCATGGAACAGACAAGCCATCCCTGCTATTCCATGTCATAATTGCTGAACCACAGAATTGGAAAGCCCAATGAACAATTGCTCTGCACCATAAATTCTAGGGTAATAGGTTTTGCAACCATAGCAACTGATACATGCAATAAAAGTAAATTCTTGTTGAAAGCTGTGAACTGCTAACAAGTCTAAGAAAGTGTTATCATAGCCAATAATCATGCAAGTGTACTATCTGGTTTTATTCTAGCACTTACTGACAGGTGGCATGAATTTGCAAAACATGTACTTCAAAGTTTTAAGGAATCTTGATTTGAATGTTGGCACAGGGCAACCTTACTTTGGAAATTCTGAACAGGGAAAAGTCATCACATATTTCACAGTTCTGAGAATTAAAGAGGAAACTGTATAGAAAGCATCTAAAATCCTGCCTGGTACACAGCAGAGATTTAAGAAATGTCAGTCCTATTCTCACCTTTCACTGTGAAAATACACTAAAAAAATGGATAAAACCTATGTAAATGCTGAAAGTATTGTACCAGACATGGCCAAGTGGGGAAATACAGATATTTTAAGTTTAAGAAATCAAATTTTTCCAGCTATTCTTACATTTGTATAGATTTGAAAATATCAGAATATTTTTAAAAGCATGTTAAGATAACTACCAAAGGCTAAACAATATAGAAGAGTTCAAAAGTATAAGTTAAATCTGTTATTTTCTGATGTCTCAAAAAGTGCCAACCACTTAAATTTGCACATTAAGGCCAAACACAAATTTCACAATACTTGTAAGAAAAAAAAACATTCTAAAGATAAGGTCATGATTGGGGGTAACCATTTGACTTGCTCCTTTTCCCCTTTCTCATTGTATTGTTTTTCTAGCAATAATGACTTCCTTGTAGATGAGGGATGTTGGCAGGGAAACGATTACCTGTGTTGTAGAATAGTGTAACAACTATCTATTTTATCACACATATGCATTAGTTGTCCCATCCTGTTCTTTACTCAGGAAACAGGTTTACCACATAATTTCGAACAGATTTCAAATATTAGACAAAGAAGACAGGTTTGTAGAACATACTTCAGGAAAACGAGTTATCAGAAAGATGATCATTACAGCACACTTTTCCAAAGCAACAATTTGCTGAGCATTTCCCATTTGTATTGCATTTAATCTCAACCACCTTCTACAATAGGTATTACTATCCCCATTTTAAAGGGAAGAAAAAAAGTTTAGGAAGGTCCAGGTAATTTGTTTCAGACTATGCAGCAACCAATAGCAGCATGAAGGCCCTAATCGTGACCTGCCTTCCAAATCCCCTGCTATGGTCTGAATATGACTTGTCCTCACCAAACTTAGGTTGATTCCTCTAAGCAGCAGGGAGCGGTGAGAGGTCGGCTCTAGCCAAGAGTGCTCCGGTCATGGGCACATCCCTCAGAGCATGATGTACGCCTTTCTTCTGGTAATGGCGAATTCCTTAATAATCATGGTAGTTCACTCCCTTTTTCTATTTCCCAAGTGTCCATTTAGCCTTCTGCTTTCCACCACAAACTGAAGCAATTAAGAATCCCTAATGTCCAGAATATAAGGCAAAATAAACACTTTTTCTTTAATTATTGAGAACCAGGTGTGTTCTGTTACAACAGGACATGCAATAAGACAACCCTTAACCAGTATCACTATTATTATGTCACAGCATCTGTAACATACATTATCCTATATATCATTAAGGGTGACACAAATATACAAAGCAAAAAAAAACCTCATGTAAACGAGTGAAACAGAGACTTTGACATTTGATCATTGTTTATAGTCTGTATTCTTGAGAACAGTGATTTTTCTACTTTAGTGCTTGTTGAATTCTGTATTTTGTAAAGGGCTAAGTTTGCAATTTGAGAAAATTGTAATTAAATCACTGTAAAAATTAAGAAAATAGGAGGTGGAGAGAGGGTAGGAAGGAAGTATAATTATGTTCTTAAAATTGTACATATGGAAAACATATTTGTTCTCTTTATATTAATAAAAGACAAAAGTGATGAAAACATTGCTATATAATTTTATACCCCACTAATCCATCAGAAAGTTAATCTATGAGTAACGGGGCATGGAGGGTGGGCTAAGCCATCAAAGATATATAATTAACCATATCACTTTAAGTATATACCTTTCTGAATGGAAATATTATGCATGACCTGAATGAAGGACTACCATTTAGTTCTGAGGCACTTGAGGAAACAGCTCCCTTAGGCCATACTAAAAATATCATTTTTCTAATGCTTAGGAATATTCAGAATGTATTTTTGGATCAAGTCACTTTATATCCTCCCGGTTGTCATCTCATTGAAATGTTGATAACTGTGCATTGTCATTTACTTGAAATTATAGTTATTCAGAGGAATAGAGGTAAAAACTTAAACTGTCAGGGACGCAGAGAGGTAAGTTAACAAAGTACAAGCTACATCTGGTGATAGTGTTGTCTTCTATCCATAGCAGTAACTCGCCCTCAAGGCAACAAGAAATTACAATTGTTCCTTCACCCTCTTTATTCATGTCAGTTTCCAAAGATTTGGTTAATTTTCACCAAATTATTGCCAATTACTTACTCAATTTGGTGTTTTTGTCTCTTTTGGTTGTGCAATGCAATTTTATTAATAATTTTGTTTTTCAAGAATTCAAGATACTCCATTTTTGCTGCTTTATTAGTCCCTGGTTATTAGAGAAGAACAAGATAGAAAAGAAACCTTAGAGAAGCTAACATAGTTTTACAGCAGTGAATTGTTCAGGACATCCTTTCTCTTTTATGAGTCATGTCTGAACGTTTTTGAAGACTTCTCGTTGCTGCATGACGATATAAGAAAAATGATCTGTGTGTTTCCTTTGGCTGCCTTCTTATTGGCAAGGGGGCAGGAGGAGTGAAGAGGGCACACAGACACAGGGAATGATTTGGATGAGATGGCAGGTGGGTCTATGATACAAGCTAGGACACAGGGCCCAATGCTATGGCTCAGTGGCTAAATCCTCGCCTTGCACATGCTGGGACCCATATGGGTGCCAGTTAATGTCCTGGCTGTTCCACTTCCCATTCAGCTCCCTACTTGTGATCTGGGAAAGCAGGCATCCATTTGGGAGACCCAGTAGAAGCTCCCGGCTTTGGGTTAGTTCAGGCCTGACCACTGTGGCCACTCGGGGAGTAAACGGGTGGACAGAAGATCTTTCTTCTGCATCTCCTTCTTTCTGTAACTCTGCCATTCCCAAACAAATAAATACATCTTTTAAAAAAAAATTAGAACAGAACAAATGAGGGAGAAGTTTTACCCGACTTTCCAAATCTGGAAATGAATGGGAAATAGACTTTTTATAATTAAGCACTTTAAATCACATAAAGGGGAAACTGAGTTTAAAACAAGTAAATTAATTTGGGCCCAGCACGATAGCGTAATGGTTAAAGTCTTCACCTTGAATGCTCTGGGATCTCAAATGGGTGCTGGTTCTAATCCCAGCAGCCCTGCTTTCCATCCAGCTCCCTGCTTGTGGCCTGGAAAATCAGTCGAGGACTGCCCAAAGCCTTGTGACCCTGCACCCATGTGGGAGATCTGGAAAAAGCTCCTGGCTTCGGATTGGCTCAGCTCCAGCCATTGCGGCCACTGGGGGAGTGAAACATCGGAAGGAAGATCTTCCTTTCTGTCTCTCCTCCTCTCTGTATATCTGACTTTGCAATAAAAATAAATTAATCTTAAAAAAAAAAAAAGTAAACTAAGTCGCCTCAGTAAACTAGCCAGTTATAAGAATTAAAAGTCAAAGACAGACTTCCCTGAAGTTCAGTTTTCTAAGTATGAGTCTGACAGGCAGAGTGAACTTGTGGAGAGGAAGGCTGTCTGAGAATTTTTTAGAATAGTGTGACTGTGATGGACAGTCCAGAGTTTTATTTGATGGCTTTCTGTGAGTAAATTAGGATGCCTCACTTTTGGGGGTCAGACTTATAAGAAAGAACAGACAGGTTGATTACTGTCCATAGTTACCGGGAAATGGTTGAATTAGGTTGAAGACAGTCTGAACCAGCTGTCTTGTAACCTCTCCTCATCCCACAATTCTTATACATGCCTGCAGGTGGGATCATGGGTAACAGAGTTCTACAAAGCGAACTGGAGTAGAACACTGGTAAGTTCTGATATTTTGTTTTCAAACATCTGGCTTGTGGCTTCTCTCATTCATTAAACATTACTTCTATGTGTACTGCTCTACATGCATAATAGAGATAAAACAGTGAACAGGAACAACTAAGTGGTCCTTCCTTGTGGGGATCCAGAAAAGTGGGAAAATGTCAAGTATCAAGAAATTATGGGATGAAAACCCTGAAAAGCACCTAGGAGAACCATTGATCAGCACTGCAGCCACACAGCAAGACTGCGAACAGATCTCAGCTCCAGGGAGACATTCTGGGGGAAACATTTCCTCAGCTGAGAACTGAAGTGTGAGAGAATAAGGTTTTGCAGTGAGCTGGGAAGCAGCTTCTAGGTATGATAGCTCCAAGTTCAAACACATGGAGAAGCACAGAATAGTATTTGAAATAAATGAAAACAAATGGCCCTGCTTCTCCCTTTTTCTTAATCAATGCAGACAACTAGTGGGAAATCAGCCTGGGGAGACAAACATGTAATTCATTAAAGAAATGTTAAAAGGATAGATGTTACTTTGGAAACCGGGAGTTGTTGCTTAGTTTTATTCATGACAGATTGTGCGGTGGGGGTTGGGTGTCTGGCGCAGTGCCCTGGGCTGCCCCATTCCTGTACTGGTATGTGTGGGCTCATGTCCTGACTCCATTTCAGCTTCTGGAGAGGCTCAACTACCTGAGTCCTTGCCCACTCAGGTGGGAGAGCCAGATGTAGTTTCTGGTTCCTGGAGTTTGGCCTAGTCCATCCTGCCCTGCCCTGCCCTGCCCTGCCCTGCCCTGCCCTGGGTGGGCATTTGGGGAGTGAACTGGAGGATGGAGGATCTTTGTCTCTCTGGCTTTTAGACAGATCGGAAAAAAAATAAAACACTTCGGATGTGCTGTGTAGACTGGAAATCAGGGAAACTCTCATGGTATTTCCAGATAAGCAAAGATAGGGCTGGAACAGAAGTATTATCAATGGAAATAGGAGTTTGTTTTTTATTTTTAAGGAGTTACTAATTGGATCCAGAGTGAGAGGAAAGAGATTTCCGGCTGGTGCGACTGAGAAGCTGGCAAAGCCAACCGTTTCTGTTGACTGTAGGGGAAGCAGCAGGCTGCTACTTGACAGATATGGTGGCCTGCAGGAGGGATCAGCAGTCAGTGGGGGACCTGAACAATATTAAGCAGATAGAGTCAATCAAATGTGATAAGTGCCTGGACATGAACTTGTAAGGAAAAGAAGTCAAAGATGACACAAGTTTCTGTGGATACTCACTGGTTCATAACCATAAATTCCTCCTCTTCTGGTAGACACCACTCTTAGCAAAGCAACTTTCTCTACCCTAAAACACGGCTGGGTCTTGTGACTAGCTCTGATGAACACGGGACAGAAGATGTATGAGGACACTTCAGAAAGGTAATGGAAATGCTTATTATGAAAAAGCTACGCATACGTTTAATCCTCTGTATCAAAATACACATCTTTCAATTTCACTTTCTTATTCCCTTTTTGGAGTGACCTTTGAAAGAGAAAGGGAAAGACTGATTGATTCCTCCATTTGCTGGTTTGTCTCTTACATGGCTGAAACAGAATAGGTCTGGACCCGATGGAAGCCAGGGACTCCATCTGGGTCTCCCAAGCAGGTGGCAGGGACCAGAGACCGTGGGACAAGTTCTGCAGCCTTCCCAGCCACGTCAGCAGGAAGCTCAATCATCAGCAGATGAGAACACGAAGGGAGTTTTAAAAAATTATGGGAAGAGTACAAAGTTTAGGGAGGGATGTTCCAGTCATTTCTACAGCATCAAAAGTCAAAACAAAAGCATTAGTACTGCATTGGAATGTTGGGCAAATGAAGAATACACCAGCCAGGGAGTAAAAGCACAGACAGGCGAGTTTCACACTTCTCAATGAAAGAAAAGCGGGGCGTTACACAGTCCCTAACTCCTCCCCAATCCTGGATACAGCAATTCAACCAGATTTCAGAACTCCCGAGGAAGTAAAGCTGAGTTAACAAACTAAAAGTTCCCCGCACTAAAATTCACAGGAACACAAACAAGGTAAACAGTGAGGCGTTAATAAGTCTGACTTCGTGAATGAACAGCAAATATAGTGACAATCAGGCCTCCTCCTTTCCAAGATGAACTCATCTATTCTGCAACTGGACCAAACGCTCCCGGGCTTCCCCCTGTGGGCGCGTCCTCCGGTAACGGGAGTCCCTGGCGGCTTCTGCTTCCCCGTGTGATGGAGGAGTGCTGTGAGAGGAGTCTCCAGGACAGTGTGAAATCAGAAGGCGGTGGCTGAGCAAACCAAAGCCGGGACCAGCATCCGCCAACGGACTACGCCACGTCGCACTCGCAGCGCAGTCCCTAACGGAATCCCGCTCGCCATCCTTCTCCAGTGGGAATCCCACACGGGACCGAGCGTTCCCCCTTCCCCGTCCCGGGGCAGCCGCCCAGGGGATGTACACTCACCGCCTGCAGCGCGGTGGCCAACAGCATCCGCAGGCCGAACGCCGGACCAAACACTCCGCCCGCCTCAGCCGCCATCGCCCCCTGCTCTCGGCGGTCCCGGCTGCCCTGAGGACCCCTCGCCGAGGGCGTCCACACGAGAGCCTGATCCGAGACAGCCCGCCAGAGGCCGTGGCCACCAACACTCTCGTGCTGGAGAGACGGCTGTTAACTTAGGGCCTGTGGACTCTTAGACGCGATCAAATATAAAGACAGTCGCACGGTGCTTTCGACTACCCAAATCAGGCACTTTCCTAAACTCCCCACTGGTGTTGTTCCCCAGATCCTTCCTTCCATTCACGACGTTTCGTCCAGCAGCCAGGACGCTCCGCCTCCTCCAATTTTAGCCCAACCTCCTTCTCCAAACCTAGCCAATCGGATACGGTCTTGATGGAGCCCTGTGGCGGAGGAAACCAACCGTAAACCGAACCCCGGGCGAAGAGCGGGGGTCCTTAGGGCCAATGAGCACGACCGGACGGGAGGCGGGGCGGGGCCTCGGTTGCCGAGCAGCGTACGTGGATGCGCGCGCGTGGTGGCGGCGGGGGCTGGGGGGGGCCCGGCGGGGGCGGGGCCGAGGGCGGCGCAGCCGCAGCCGCAGCGCCGGTGGAGGAGCGCGCGGCCGCGAGAGCGCAGGAGGGAGGGCGGGCAGGAAGAGGGAGGCGGGCGGGCAGCCGGGCGCCGAGGTCGGGGAGCGAGGCTGCGAGCGGGCGGCGAGAGCCCGGCAGGCGCTGCGCGCAGGGTCTGCAGCCCGGGCTTCTGGAAGGGGGCGGCCGTCGAGCCGGCCGAGGAGAAGCGGGCGCCGGCGGCGTCGGTGCTAGCGCCTGGGGGCGGGGGACCGGAGAGGCGAGCAGGGGGGTCGCTGCGGTGCTCCTCGGGCTTGTCGCGCTCTCCTCGCCGCGCTCCCGGCTCGGGGGGCTCCTCCCGGCGTCGCCCTCGCCTCTGGGGCCCCGCTCCCCGCCCCCCGCGGTATGTCTTGATCCCGAGCGGCGGGTTTCATGGGGCTCCTCAGGATTATGATGCCGCCCAAGTTGCAGCTGCTGGCGGTGGTGGCCTTCGCGGTGGCGATGCTCTTCTTGGAGAACCAGATCCAGAAGCTGGAGGAGTCCCTGTCGAAGCTAGGTGAGGAGCCCGAACCGGCTCGGCGCTCAGTGCTGCGGACGGGGCCGGGCCGGGGTGGGCAGCGCAGCCGGAGCGAGTGGACGTGGCTGTAGCCGGGGCAGAGCTTCCCCAGAGCCCCCAGGCGGCGTGCTGGGCTCGCGAGGTCACGGGGCAGAGGTTGCAGGGCTGCCCGCGAAGTAGGCATTCCGGAGGGAGGGCGAGAGAAGCCCGAACTCGCCGGGGAGCGAGCGGCGCTCCTGCCGGGGGTGGGAAACGCTCAGCCTCGCGCCTTCTCGCCCAGGTCCGGCAGGAAGCCTCGGCAGTGTCGGCCGGGGTGTTCCAGGTTCGCGTCTGGACCGCCGGACGCTGCTTCCCGGGGGATGGCGGGGAACGGGGGGTCGCAGCCGTGGAAGGACGTGCCGGGAATGGTGGGCGAGTGGAAGAAATGTGCTGTGGGGAGTAGCGCTGTGGTCTCGGGGAGCCAGGGACCCCCCGTCTCCACGCGGCGGTTGAGGTGGGCTGGCCAGGTAGGGCAGGTTCGCGCGTGAGAAGCTTTCGGGGGTTAGGAAACGACGATCGATCGTGGGATGCTGCGATGATTCTTAGTGTCGCTGGACTGATTGATCTGGGCTACAGAGCTGGGGTGTACCGGTACGGGGCTTCGCGGCAGTGAGAATGGAGTGCGTTCCAAAGAGGGAATGCCCGGGGGGCCTATGTACTGAGGTTTACTGTTGCAAAGTAAGATTATATGGTAAACATTTGCTTTAAGTCCCGTGAAGAGTTAACAGTGCTTTAGTGGGTGTAGCAGTCTGAAGTAAAAAAAAAGTTGTAGTGTGAAGTTGTGAAAGATCGACCTGAGAAAAAACATAATAGATGCCTTTGGATTAATGTGTAGCTGGCGTTTGGAAAGGGGTGTGGAGAGGGAATGTTTGAAGAATGACAGTGCTCAATTCTGATTTAAAAATGTGCGTGGCACTTAAATCGGCTCAAGAGGATGTAGTTTGAATATGGGAGCGAGATAGGAGCTGGTTGGGCATCCTACAGTGTGAGAAGCCAACAGACTTCCTTCAGAGCTGTTCTTTAGACTAAAGAGTAACTTTGGGAAATAACTGAATGTTGCTGTGTTGATTAATTTTCAGGAAATGTATACCAGAAAATAATTGCGATTTTGTATGTAGTAGCTAATTGACTATTTCGACTTTGGGTGAACTTTGCAATTGCCTTGAAATTTTGAAGAGCAGTGTGTCAAAAAGTATCTAAGAAGAAGAATTGCAGTACAACTAAATTTGAAAGAAGATTGGAAGATAATCCCAGGCCTTACTAACTGGGGCAAAATTTGAAGAGATATCCAGCTCTGATTTTATTATTGAATCTTATAAAATGAAAAAATATATATTAACTTGAAATGTTAAAGCAAAGGCTGGTCAGTATATTTTTCCCTTTCAATTGAGTCCACTTATCAGAATTTAAAATCATGCTCTGGCCTTATTAATGATCCTAGTTTATAGAAAGAAGATCCCTCTTAGAGAAAGTTGAAAGTTTTATAAAATTAAAATTTATGCCAATTATGGTAACTCCTATTCTCTGGAGTTAATTTCTCAGATGCATGAAGATGAGTATCATTACTGAATTTAAAAAAATTTTTCTCAGCCTTTCTGTAATACTTGAAAATGGTTTCCATAGATATAACATCATTATTTATTTTGACATTTTGTTTTTAAGATTTTTTAAAATTATTTTTATTGGAAAGTCAGATACACAGAGAGGAGGAGAGGCAGAGAGGAAGATCTTCTGCCCCGTAAGTCACTGCACAAGTGGTTACAACGGCTGGAGCTGAGCTGATCTGAAGCCAGGAGCCAGGAGCTTCCTCCAGGTCTCCCACACAGGTGCAGGGTCCCAAGGTCTTGAGTGGTCCTTGACTGCTTTTCCAGGCCATAAGCAGGGAGCTGGATGGGAGGCTGCTTCGATTAGAACTGGCATCTATGTGGGATCCTGATGCTTAGTAATCTGAAGAAGTAGAATGCCACAGGTAGGCATACATGCTTTCTCATAATTTTTCTTTGCAAAAAAGGAATTTTCATTAGAAATGGTGTGCATTAGAATAAATATTCATTAGAAATAATAAATATGTGTTAAAATAAATCTCAAAAATCTAGGAAAATGAGCTTCCCGTATGAAACTCTTGGAGTATTTTCATCTAGAAATGCAAAATAAGTAAATCAAATGACAAGTAAAATTGTATAAGTTTGTTTCTATTAGTAGTCTTCTGATTTTCTTCCATAAGTCTTGTAAATGCCAGTGAATGCTAAGAGAGATGTTGCAGTGGATGACTCCTTGGGAAGCAAGGCAGGAGTGTGCTTTTGTCAACCAGACCATATGCTGGGCAGTTTTCACCTAGGATGCTCCCATGTATCTTTTGAGAAAAGCATGCAAAGCTGCTTTTGCTGACATAGGAACAGGCTTGGGGTTGTAGAACTTGGCTGAGACCACAGCACTGTTGGTAGAGCCACGAGTAGAATCCAGCTTTGTCTGTTTCCAAATCAAGCGCTCCTTTATTACACTTGGGCTCTTGAAACTTTTTATTGACATTACAACAAGATGTAGCTGTTTGAATAGTGTTTATCAATCGTAATACCAGTGTTTGATTGCACTTATTGCTGAGAATGAATATCATTCTGAGGAAATTCAATTTTGGACACAAAGGAATTGGTTTAGTGTAATGTCTGCCCCCTGTTTATATTATAATAAACATAATTATATTACCCAGTAAAATAACTAAAATAGATAGCTTATTTCTACTACAAGAAAAAAAATCTGTTGGTTTTTTTTCCATAAGGAAAAATCACAACATTGGAAACATTTGTGCTATAACATCCCAAAGTACTATTAAGGTGGTTTTCTCTTAAAAGTGGTTTTTATTCTGTTTAGTATCCAAAGGTTTATACTGCATGATAATTACCTTTAGAGCACCTTGATTTGAAAGTATATTGTTGGTGAAGCCTGTAAGCATTAGAAGAGTTCAAAATTAAGCCATATTTATTGATCATATGGGAAATTAAATCAATAAATAATTCCTAGACCTAATATCAGTTTTTTTTTAATAGACAAAAAAGGGACAGTGGATTGTATTTTACTTCATAACATGCCTTTAAAATATTTTTTAATATCAGACACCTTTCCAGGTTAGTACATATCAGTTTAACTTACACTGATATGTGTATAACATTCCAAAGTATGCATATATCATAAACCATTATGCCAGTAATGAACAGTTTGTCTCCTTCCACCTTTTAATACTATCCCTGTAAAAGAAATATCCTTACATGTCTGCTTTCTTTCTTGTGTGCTTCATGTTATTTTTCACTACGGTGAATTCTGTATGTGAGATTGCTGTGACAAGCGATTTTATGTATTCTATAACTTGACAGATTTTAAAATGTTACTTTCCAAAATTCTTTACCAAATGTTGCAATAGTCTACACTGTCAACACATAAAAGGAATGAAATCTATCAGCTTTTCTTTTTGCCAGTCTGAAGAGGCTGTGAAATGATATGTTATTAATTTTAAATTTCCTGAATTCTAGTTGTTTATTCCCTTTTACTTGCTAGGTCATTTTCAATGTCTTTCTGTTAAGCAGTTTATAATGATTAATTTTTTAATGTTAGAATTACTAATCATTTAGTTTAATACGTTTCTCTATGATGTGTTGTTAACTCATAAAAGTTTTAAACTTTACATAGTCAAGTCTTGTTTAAGCTAGTGGATTTCATACATTTTTTAAGACTTTCCCTAAGTCAAGGTGATGTACATTTCTTTTTCTCTTCCTTTTTCCTTAAAAAAAATTATTTATTTGAAAGAGATCGATCTTCTATGCATTGACTCACTCCCCAAGTGGCCATAATGGCCAGTGTAGGGCCATGCTAAAACTGAGAGCTGCTTCTAGGTCTCCCATGTGGGCAGGGGCCCAATACTTTGCCATCTTTCACTTCGTTCCCAGACTGGTAGCATTAGCTGGATTAGACGTGGAGCAGCTAAGACTCTAATGGGTGCCCTTATGGGATCCTGGCACTATAGGTAGTTGTTAACTTGCTGCCCTATAATGCCAGTCCTATATGTGCATTTTCTGTATGTTATATTACATTACAGTGGTTTTGTTTTGTTTTAAATCTCCAAATGCCGTCAGTGGGATTGAGCCAGGTCCAGATTGGGAGCCAGGAACGTAATCCGGGTCTCCGTACACACAGGTGACAGGAACCCAGTCGCTGGAGCCTTCTCTGCAGTCTCCCAGGTTCCGCTTTGCAAGAAACTGAGTTGAGCTGATTTGAACGCCAGGCATTCTGATGAGATGCAGGCCTCTTAACTGCTAGGCTAAGTGCTTGCTGCTACACTTAGCTTTTAAATCACTCCTGTGTTTATAGATTTATTATGTTTCCTCTTGGTGAGTAGCCACTATGATAAATGCAGTTTTACATATAGTCCATTTTAATCGTGTGTTAAGTTTTCCTTATGTTCTTTGGTCAATTTTGAACTCTTGCACTAATCTGGCTGTCTATATATCTCAGGGGCATGTGTGTGTGTGTGTGTGTGTGTAGCATATACGAATTTCCTGAAATTCTATGCATAGCTTTCTTCAAACTTGCAGTGGACTATGTGATCCCCCCTCTTTGATAAGAATCACAGATGTCTAGAATAGGTTGAGCATTCCTAATCTGAAAATCTGAAGTTCATGTTTCAAAATCAAACTTCTGAGCAATGTTATGAGGCCCCCAAGTACAAAATTCAATGCTGACCTCATGTGACGGGTCTCATTTAAAATACAGGCTCACTGAAAATGTTGTGTAGGGTTATTCAAGAGTGTGTATAGATGGTATATATGAAATAGAAATGAATTTTTAATTTAGACTTGTATGTGCAATACTACAAAATCTGAAAAGCTCAAAACCTGAAAAACTTTTGGTTCCAAGATTTTAGAAAAATGGATAAGTAACCTTGAATGTTTCATATTTAGTGGAATTTTTTG